TCAATGAGATGTATAAAAATTAACGTTTTACAAAATTTTAATAAAATCGTTAATTTTAATCATTCTCTTTAATGTATCAAATGATTTTTTATTGATGTTAAATTTTATAGACATGATCTATATGATAATAGTTTTTGATCAAATAATGAATTTTGTTAAATTAATATGCGCTAAAGAATTATTGTAAATATCGTATTACTAAATTTAATATCTTGGTGTCATTTGAGTATGACCAGTTACCAGTTAATTTTATTTATATCTGTTGAACGATAATTTTGGTATTTAAACATGTCAAGTGTTATTTTTTACTATACCATTCATTTACAACAATTACCGTTGATTTAATTCAATTGAATTAGTCCATCTTTTTCAATTATTTACAATTTAATAATACATTATTGGACATTTTATGTAATGAATTATAAATGATACATGAAAATTTATTATTTAATTTTGTAATATACATCTGCAATTATAATTTAAAATACCATTTTAAAAATAATTAGAGGCATTTATTTATATATTTAAATAATATAAGTTAAATTTAAAAGAATTGTTTGATTTTTTTTTAACATTGATATGAGATTTAATATTTGAAGTTAAAATTTTGAAACATACAACCGCATTTATAATTAAAAATTATATTTTAATAAGCATATTATTTCTTAAAGAATATTGATAGGCAAAAAATGAAAATATGAAAAATAAAAATAATTATTAATATATTAAAAATATAATAGATTGACATTTTATAATTATTTCTACATAATCAATTATCTCTTCTTTTTTTTTTGTAAGAATTTAAGTAGTGATAATGTTATCACTATTATTAAGAAACTAAAAATAATTTGTATTTTACAAGAATTAAATTAGTTATAATAATTTTTATCAAATTATTAAAAAATTGATTAATTATATTATTTAGGATTTAATAAGCTCTCGTAGTTTTTTTTATCAAATTGTTTAAAAATTGATCAAATTTAATATATTATAATATTTTTTTATGATTTTAAAGAAAATAAAGAATAATTTGCATTTGACCTTTTGAAAATGAATTTAAGGAAGTACTACATAAGACAATGAGATGATGTGTCACAAATAAATTAGTGAAAATAAATTTATGGAGGTACCACATAGAACAATGAGATAATGTGTCCAAATAAATTAGAAAAGTAAATATGTGTTGTGACATGATTCGATGTTTCAAATTTAATATATATATATATATATATATATATATATATATATATATATATATATATATATATATATATATATATATATATATATATATATATTTGTAGTCTAGAAAGGAAGTGAATATGATTATTGAATGAATCTCTATCGGTTAAACGATGATTTTGGTATTTAAATATATTTAATGTTGTTGTTTTTTAATATACCATTCATTTGCAATAATTACTATTGATTTAATTCAATTGTCCATCAATTTTAATTATTTTACAATTTAACAAAATATTATTGGACATTTTATGTAATGAATTATAAATGATATATGAAAATTTATGATTTAATTTCGTAATATACATCTGTAATTATAATTTAAAATACCATTTTAAAAATAATTTGAGGCATTTATTTATCTATTTAAATGTTATAAATTAAATTTAAAAGAATTGTTTGATTTTTTTTTAACATTGATATGAGATTTAATATTTGAAGTTAAAATTTTGAAACATACAACCGCATTTATAATTAAAAAAAATATTTTAAAAAGCATATTATTTTTTAAAGAATATTGATAGGCAAAAAATATAAATACGAAAAAATAAAAATAATTATTAATATATTAAAAATATAATAAATTGAATTTTTATAATTATTTCTACATAATCAAATTATCTCTTTTTTTGGTGAGGATTTAAGTAGTGATAATGTTATTACTATTATTAAGAAACTAAAAATAATTTTTATTTTACAAGAATTAAATTAGTTATAATAATTTTTATCAAATTATTAAAAACTTGATTAATTATATTATTTAGGATTTAATAAGCTCTCGTAGTTTTTTTTATCAAATTGTTTGAAAATTGATCAATTTTAATATATTATAATAGTTTTTTTTAATGATTTTAAAGAAAATAAAGAATAATTTGCATTTGACTTTTTGAAAATGAATTTAAGAAAGTACTACATAGGACAATGAGATGACGTGTCACAAATAAATTAGTGAAAATAAATTTATGGAGGTACCACATAGAACAATGAGATAATGTGTCATATATATATATATATATATATATATATATATATATATATATATATATATATATATAATGGAATATAAGTGATGCATGAAAATTCATGATTTAATTTGTAATATGTATTTACAATTATAATTTTAAATAATATTTTAAAAACAATTTGAGGTATTTATTAGTCTATTTAAAAATTATAAGTAAAATTTGAAAGAACTATTTGATAACTTTTATAATATTATATGAGATTTAATATTTGAAGTTAAATTTTGAAACATACAACCACATTTATAATTAAGAATTATATTTTAAAAAATATTGATAGACAAAAAAATATAAATACAAAAAAAATAAAATAATGATTAGTATATAAAAAATATAATAAGTTGAATTGCATAATTATTTCTACATAACCAATTATCTCTTTTTTGTGATGATTTAAGTAATGAGAATTTTATTACTATTATTAAGAGATTAAAATTGTTTTTATTTTTATAGGAATTAAATTTGTTTTAATAATTTTGTATCAAATTATTTCAAAATTGATTAATTTTATTTTTTAGGAACTTAATAAGCTCTCGTAGTTTTTTATATCGAATTGTTTGAAATATAATTAATTTTAATTTTTTATATTGAAAATCGATCAATTTTAATATATCATAATTTTTTTTAATGATTTAAAAGAATAAAATTTCAATTTTAGTGTTTAGATTCAAGCAATGAGAACGTTATTACTATTATTAATAGATTAAAATTGTTTTTTTTTTATAAGAATTAAATTAGTTCTAATAATTTTGTATCAAATTATTGTATCAAATTATTTCAAAATTGATTAATTTTATTTTTTTAGGAACTTAATAAGCTCTTGTAGTTAATTGTTTGAAAATTGATTTATTTTTATTTTTTTTATTAAAAACCGATCAATTTTAATATATCGTAATAGTTTTTTTTTATGATTTTAATTAAATTTATTTTTATTTTTATAGGAATTAAATTAGTTCTAATAATTTTGTATCAAATTATTTTAAAATTGATTAATTTTATTTTTTTAGGAACTTAATAAGCTCTTGCAGTTAATTGTTTGAAAATTGATTAATTTTTATTTTTTTATTAAAAACCGATCAATTTTAATATATCATAGTTTTTTTATGATTTTAAAGAACAAAATTTTAATTTTAGTATTTAGATTTACAAATTTTTTTTCTTGGTGAGAAGTTAAACTTGTAACTTTTAATAGAGAATAAATATTATATTTTTTTGTCAAAAAAATATTATATTTTTTTTGTTTTTGTAATGAGTTGAACTCTAAATTTCTAATAAATAATAATTTGTATTTGACTTTTTCTGAAATGTGTCATATATAGGAGGATAAGAAGATAATGCGATACACATTCATGTCTATAAAATTTAATATCAATAGAAAATAATTTAAAATATTAAAAAGAAGAAACAAAATTAACGAGTTTGAATATATATATATATATATATATATATATATATATATATATATATATATATATATATATATATATATATATATTTGGTTCTATGAATATTTATCCCTTTATAACCTTTGAGGACATGAAAGTTGCAATAAAAGGAAGTGAGTTTGTTTTATAGTGATAATATCTATAAGGCAAACTTTTTGTGGGTTCTCTCTCTTGCACTATAAATACAACACAACAGTCTCCAACGTTACTCTATAACCGCTCACTCACTCATTCTCTGCCATTTCATTCCTGCCTGCAGATAAGACCAACCCTTTATTCTGCTTCTTCAGGTTCTCTCTGGTTTCTCACGCCCACTTCATTTTCATCTATATCTACGATCATGTTTTGTTTTCTATGTTTCATATGTCTTTGATTTGTTTTTATAATCTTATTCTTTGTTTTCGAATGCATTTGAGAGCTCTCATATAAGTGAGTAAATGAGATAGCATGATAAATCAACGTGTTGTTGGTAGAAAAATGAAAAGAAAAAACATATAAGCCAATTCTGTAAATGTTTGGTTTCATGGTAGTTTTAGCAAAATCACGTTTGATTCATGGTTTTCAAAAACGGTCGCGTAAAAGCTTTCGCGATTTGATGTCTTCTTTGATATAAGAACTGTGAATAACAGTATCATATCGACACCTGTCTATACCGTTTTGTCGCGACAGTTTTCGCATTAAATTGTAGTTTTTGCCAAAATCACTCACCATCCGTCAATCCAAACATACACTTAAGGATGCTTTAAATTTAATTGATTTGTTTGCAAAATGATGTTTTGTTTTTGTGAATATCTGTAGCTGATTCTAGTTAAGAGGGCCTTTTTCTTATCTAATTATTATTTTTTTAAATATGAGGTTCTTTTCATGACTTTTGCATCTCAATATGTTTTCATTGGTTGTCATAAAAAGCTTTTGTCTTGTTCTGCTTTTCTGTGATGGAGGAATCTTTCACAGATCCCTTGTGAATTTGTGTCAGGATATTTTTAGGTGGTTTTAATAAGTTTGTTTTTCTTCATATAAGAACCACAATTGAGAATTGGAACTATTGAAAATGACTTGTTGATTTAAAGCTGTGGTAGTGAGCTTCCTGACAAGCCTACCTTGACTCTTTTTTTGTTGCTTGTAGAGAGTAATGTTTCCATTCTCTAGAGTTTGTATTTGAAATTCATTTTTTGTTATAGATCTTTTCAGATGTGTGTATATAAATAACATGTATTTGCACATTCTATATGATGCCAATTGTTTGAAAATTTGATACTCAAAATTTGTGTTTTTGTAGTTCTGCATCGAGATGGCGTCAGTGCATGCTAATGTGACATCAGTTGTTTGCAAGAACGGCAACCATGCTTCTCAATCGAAGTTCCTGAATTCTTCATTCTTGCCTCGGTTCGATGTTGTTGGGCGCTCTTCTAATGCTTGGAAGAAGGAACCAGTTCCATGTTCCATTGCTTTGGTGCCTAGAGCCACATTGACGTTCGATCCTCCAGCTACTAATGCAGACAAAACCAAACAAACGAAGCACACGGTTGATCCTGCTTCTCCTGATTTTCTTCCTCTTCCTTCCTTTGAACAGTGCTTTCCTAAGAGCACAAAAGAATCCAGGTTTACCTTGTCGTTTTTAATATATACTTTTTCGATATCAGTTTACTTCGATCACAAATTGTTCGCCTTTCCATGCCTTTTGTTAGAAAACTAGCTATGCGGCCGCTGTAATTAATATATCATGTTTAACAGGGAAGTCGTTCATGAAGAAACTGGTCATGTGCTCAAGGTTCCATTTCGACGGGTTCACTTGTCTGGCGATGAATCTCACTTTGATAACTATGATACCAGTGGTCCTCAAAATATAAGTCCAAGGATTGGTATGAAAATAAAGTTTTCTATTTCTATTTTGCCGTGGCTTTTTGTTTATTTCTCGAGTCTGTGGTATGTTTTTATAACTTGAAGAAAACCCCCGAAGTGATGGAATTACATAAATATAGTTTATGAATCTTAGTTTGGTTTGTAATGTATACTAACACAAAGTGTTTAGCAAATTGCAATAACCTAATTGGTTTCTTTTCATGCATTTGATTATTAGGACTACCAAAATTGCGCAAAGAGTGGATTGACAGGAGAGAAAAAACAGCTCCTCCAAGATTCACTCAGATGTACTATGCTAAGCAGGGAATCATTACCGAGGAGATGCTTTACTGTGCCACTCGCGAGAAGCTCGACCCAGAGTTTGTGAGGTCAGAAGTTGCTCGTGGACGAGCTATCATTCCTTCCAACAAGAAGCACTTGGAGTTAGAACCGACGATAGTTGGAAGAAACTTTTTGGTGAAAGTAAATGCCAACATTGGAAATTCTGCAGTTGTAAGTTCTATAGAAGAGGAAGTTTACAAGGTTCAGTGGGCGACCATGTGGGGAGCTGATACAGTCATGGATCTCTCAACCGGTCGCCATATCCATGAAACTCGAGAGTGGATCTTAAGGAACTCTCCCGTACCAGTTGGGACTGTACCTATTTATCAAGCACTGGAGAAAGTTAATGGAATTGCCGAAGATCTTAGCTGGGAGGTGTTTAGGGAAACCTTGATTGAACAAGCTGAACAAGGTGTTGATTACTTCACCATCCATGCAGGAGTACTTCTTAGGTATATTCCTTTAACTGCAAAGCGCATGACGGGAATAGTTTCCAGAGGAGGATCGATTCATGCAAAGTGGTGCTTAGCTTATCACAAAGAGAATTTTGCTTATGAGCATTGGGATGACATTCTTGACATCTGCAATCAGTATGATGTGGCTTTGTCCATTGGTGATGGATTAAGACCTGGATCCATTTATGATGCAAATGACACAGCTCAATTTGCCGAGCTTTTGACACAGGGTGAACTGACTCGTAGAGCATGGGAAAAGGATGTACAGGTGATATATATATATAATCAAACTTTCTTCATAGCTTGGTATTATAAATTTTGTCGATATAACTGGGACTTTCTAGAGATTATTATTTTCGGGTTTTTCAGTATTAGTCACTATTTGTTCACTTTGAGTTCTTTTACAGGTGATGAATGAAGGACCTGGACATGTTCCAATGCACAAGATTCCTGAAAACATGCAAAAACAATTAGAATGGTGTAATGAAGCACCTTTCTACACTCTCGGTCCTTTAACAACCGATATTGCCCCTGGTTACGATCACATCACCTCTGCTATTGGTGCAGCAAATATCGGTGCACTTGGTACGGCTCTTCTCTGTTACGTGACCCCAAAAGAACATCTCGGGCTGCCAAACCGCGATGACGTGAAGGCTGGAGTTATAGCTTACAAGATAGCTGCTCATGCTGCCGATTTAGCCAAGCAACATCCACATGCTCAAGAATGGGACGATGCATTAAGCAAGGCGAGATTTGAGTTCCGATGGATGGACCAGTTTGCTTTGTCTTTGGATCCAATGACAGCCATGTCCTTCCACGATGAAACGTTGCCAGCAGATGGTGCGAAGGTGGCTCATTTCTGCTCGATGTGTGGCCCTAAGTTCTGCTCTATGAAGATAACCGAGGATGTGAGAAAGTATGCTGAGAAACATGGATATGGGGATGTTGAGGAAGCTTTGAAGGAGGGGATGAATGCTATGAGTGCTGAATTTCTAGCTGCGAAGAAAACTATCAGCGGAGAACAACATGGTGAAGCTGGTGGAGAGATTTACTTGCCAGAATCTTACATAAGTTCTAAGGAAGGGTAAGGCTCAGTATATTGTATAATACGAAAACTTATACCGAGTAGGAAATTTATATAGAATATGTCATAAATCATAATCAACATTACTAATCCAAGTTTTTTTTGCAGGGCTATATAAATGGAGAAAATCATATGAGAGAAGTTGGAGATAGCTACTACACAACTTGCCAGAAAGGATAGTGAAGTCTTTTCATTTTCAAGTTATAGAATAATAGTTTGTGAACAACATTTAAGAACTTCATCTTTTAGTCTACTTCTGTTGTGTTATCCAATTCTCAGCAATAAAATGTTTGGTACCATGTTTATCTTTTTCGGCTTTATTAACACCCGAGATGCACCAGGGGTGCCTGTATCTGCATGAGCTCTAGCTATTAAGCTAGCACGCTAGCAGTTCAGGCTGAGATAGTCCCTTCGAACCTGATCAGGGTGAAGCCTGCGTAGGGAGCGTGCATTATTTTTTGTTTTTTGTTATATTTCTGCAGGAAATATACGTTATATACTAGTTCCGGAGGCGGCTACAGCATGTTGTTCATGCCAGTGCCAGTTGTTTACTGTGGGAATGTAGCTGAACTGGAAGAACATGCTACATGCTCTATATTCTTAGTTTCCTATTGTTAATATATAGAATGAAAGTCTAAATCATAAAATACACTAATCCTCGCATATTCATGAAAGATGAGTTTTTCACTGATGAAACTGTCTGAGTGTAAGTAAACACATCATCTTAATCCTGCATGTTAGACAAAATATATCCGATATTATATCTTTGGTTAAAAGCCGAGAGTATTATATCTGCATCGTTAGGTTAATCCAACAGTTGAGGTGTAGTTGGAGGGGCTGAGAGTTCTGCAGCTTTGTACCTCTGCAACCTTCTCAGTTAAATCTGAGCATTGCAGCTTATGAGAATATTTGGGATCTTGTAAGCCATTGTTTGCCTCCATCCTTCTGGAGCGTGAGTGATTCGATTTCAGAATCAATGACATGTTGTTTGTTGGCGACTATGTTGCTCATGAGGACTATAGGCACTTTATACAAATTAAAATTTTAGAGATCAGATTTTTCCAATGAAAGCATGTTGATAATTAGAATACGCTTTTTCATGTTCGAGCACTTTATTTGAAGTGGCTTTTATGACTACATGTTCCACAGTAAAACCTCAAGTCGTCAATCTCTTTAGTAGAGAAATCCAATCAAGTTCACACATGCATGTTTTTTTTCCGATTAACCCGTACATCAAAATATTTGTTAGTCTAAATGTCGATCTCCCCTCATATGGATCAGTCAAAAAATTCGCATACACCTTTTTCTTCACTGATAGCTCGGTCCGCTGAAACATATCTAATATATCTAATGAATGGATTATATTAGATGAATAAAATAAACATGAAAGTGTTCTCTACATAGTCAACAGGCAGCAGAAATAGGAAACTAGAGAACACGTTTCTATGTTTGTTTGTGTTTTCTTTTCACCCATTACATATTCATCATTTCTCACCATCCTTAACCCACCAATTTGGCACTAGTCTTTGTACCTTATATGTACTCCTTTTTCATGACAAATAAAAACGCTTAATGAAACAAACTCATATACCTGTTTCCTAATCGAGGGTGTAATGGATATTATATAGTTTTTCTTCCGTTAAAATAAGTTCATTTTGGTCGACCTCAAGCTGCACAATTATTACGAGATATTGTTTGCTTTGGATATAAGAATCATCACAACTATGTGATAGAAACGGGCACTGAACAGAAATAATTTGGAGAATAGGGATACTTTATTGATGATAATTCTGGTGGACAATCAAATGACTAGAATAATATGCTTACAATAGTTATAGAAAATAGTGCAGAATATTAGGACACACACACACCAAGATTCGAGAGCTTGGTTCTCTCCCTCCCAAGTGTCTAACACTCACAACTTCAGGATGATCAGAACACAGTTCTGTTTCCCCTTTTATTCTGCCTAGGTTTTGTAATTGTTCCTAATATTAATTGTTACTCTAGTAATAATAATAATTGTTGCCTTTAGAAATCTGTAACTGCTACAGATGCCATTGACATGACTGCTTATCTGTCTGTGCTGCTATTACTTGAGAGCATTTATCTTGCTTTATTGGTGCTCAATACTCCCCCCCTAAAAGAGACACCTTGTCCTCAAGGTGAAATGAAGGAAATTGCTCTTTGATGACTTCCACAGGTTTCCACGTAGCTTCAAATTCTGGTAGGTCCTGCCATTGAATAAGCACTTCGGCCGAGCCATTAGCATTATTCCGGACAGTCCTTACCGCCACAGGTGATACTTGGAGTTCTAAATCCTCGGAAAGCATTGGCGGAAGAGGTTGTCGATTGCTTGTTGGAGCCAAGGCTTTCTTTAGTAAGGAAACATGGAAAACTGGATGAATTTTGCTCTCTTGTGGTAAATCCAATTCAAATGCCATTGGTCCTATTTGTTTGATTATTTGATAAGGCCCATAGAACCTAGGACTCAGTTTCTCATTCCTCTTCTTAGCAAGAGACTTCAATTTGTAAGGTTGCAGCTTAAGATAAACCCAATCACCAGTAGAGAGATTTATTGATCTTCTGGATTGATCTGTATAAGTTTTCATCTGAACTTGGGCTTTCACTAAATTAGACTTGAGCTCATGTAACATTTGATCCCTCTCTTGAGTCAACACATTAACTTCTTCCACAACTGAAGGAATGGTAGAGCCTTTGAGTAAATGGGGAGGGTCTCGGTCATAGAGAGCTTTGAAAGGAGTCAATTTCAAGGAGCTATTATAGTTGGTGTTGAACCAATATTCAGCCCACCCTAACCACTTTGTCCACTACTTCGGTTGAGTCCCTGTGAGACACCTCAGATAGGTTTCCAAACACCGGTTTACTACTTCGGTTTGGCCATCAGTTTGAGGATGATATGCGGAACTGGATTTTAACTTGGTACCAGCCATTTTAAACAACTCAGACCAGAAATGGCTGAGAAATATTTTATCCCTATCGGACACAATGGTTGATGGGAAACCATGTAACTTAACCACCTCTTTGATGAAAATTTCAACAACATCCTTAGCGATAAAAGGGTGACTTAAAGCCATGAAATGAGCATATTTGGTAAGACGGACAACTACCACCAAAATCACATTTTTTCCATTTGCTTTAGGTAACCCTTCTATAAAATCCATTGTAATATCATCCCACACCTGAGAAGGAATTGGCAGTGGTTGTAGTAGACCAGCAGGAGACAAGGTCTGATATTTGTTCAATTGACAAACTTCACAAGTGGCAACATATTGTTGAATGTCTTTCCTCATTCCTTCCCAGTATAGAATTGCTGAAATTCTTTTATAAATTCTGAAAAATCCCGAGTGGCCTCCCGTGGCTGAATCATGGAATTCTTTTAAAAGCTTCGGAATTTTGGAAGACCCTTTTGGTAGCACTAGTCGTCCTTTGAAAAACAACTTTCGATCTCTAAAAGAATATCCAGGGTGAGATTGGCTATCCTTCAGCAAGTCTTGAATGATTTCTTGCAATTTTTTATCATTTTGAATTTCGGTCTCCCACTCCTCTAATTCGTCAAATTGGACTGTGGATAGAGCTGCATAACTCATCCTTCTAGAGAGTGCATCAGCCACCTTGTTTTGTGTTCTAGACTTGTATTGAGTTTCAAAATCGAATCCCATCAACTTAGAAGTCCACTTGAATTGTTCCTCTCCTAGAACTCTTTGGTCACAAAGAAATTTAAGGCTCTTTTGGTCCGTAAGAATGATGAAATGCCTCCCCATCAAGTAATGTCTCCATTTTTTAATAGCTATCACAATGGCCATCAACTCTCTCTCGTACACTGACTTGGATTGTGCTCTATCCGATAAAGTTTGACTATGAAAAGCCACGGGTCGACCTTCTTGTAATAAAGCAGCTCCTAATCCTTTGTTAGAAGCATCCGTCTCTATGGTGAATACTTTGGAGAAGTCTGGAACTGTTAGTATGGGTAATTCAGCCATCAATTTCTTCAGTTGCTCAAAAGCGATTTGGGCTTCGTTGTTCCAACGGAAACACTCTTTTTTCAACAATTGGGTCAACAGTCTTGTTATCTTGCCATAATCCTTCACAAACCTTCTATAATAACCTGTGAGTCCTAAAAATCCTCTTAGTGCTTTGAGATCTTTAGGAATGGGCCACTCCATCATAACAATTAGTTTTTTTGGATCAGCTGCTACTCCTTCCCCTGAAATGATGTGACCTAAATACTCTAATTGAGTTTGGACAAAAGTGCACTTTTTCAGATTCACAAATAGTTGGTGCTCCTTCAGTAGCGCTAGAACAACTTGCAAATGCTTATGATGTTCCTCAATCGATTTGCTGTAGATCAAGATATCATCAAATAAAACCAAAACAAATCTTCTTAAATATGGTTTCAATATTTCATTCATTAACGATTGAAATGTGGAAGGTGCATTAGTAAGTCCAAACGGCATAACAAGAAACTCATAATGACCCTCATGAGTTCTGAAGGCTGTCTTTGGAATATCATCTTCCTTCATCCTTATTTGATGATAACCCGGTCTTAAATCCAGTTTAGAAAATATATTTGCTCCCCCTAACTCATCAAGTAGCTCATAAATAATGGGAATAGGGAATTTATCAGGCACAATAATCTTATTTAGGGCTCTGTAATCTACACAAAAACGCCATCCTCCATCTTTTTTTAAAACCAGAATAATAGGACTAGAGTAAGGACTTACACTAGGCCTAATGACACCCGATTTTAACATATCATCTACTAACCTCTCAATCTCATTTTTTTGATAATGAGGATACCTGTAAGGCCTGATATTAGGAATATTCGCTCCTTCCTTAAGTACAATAGCATGATCTTGTCTCCTCAACGGTGGCAGCCCCTTTGGTTCTTGGAACACCTCTTCAAATTCGCTTATAACTCCTTCCAGCCAGCTAGGCGGTGAGATTGCTGAATGTGTTCCAGCCTTTAACATCTGGTATTCTAAGAGAAAAACTTGCCCTTCATTACGCATGGCCTTTAAAACAGACCCGAAGGATGCTACTGCCCTCGATAATTCAGACTCTCCTTTCAACACATGATATCGATTACCACATGGAATT